CCCACCTCAGCCTCTTAAGTAGCTGACATGTGCCACCATGCCCAGCTACAGGCGTGTGCCACCATGCCCAACTACATTTTGTTTTTCTTTGGAAAGTTTTTGTTTGATTCTGTTTTTTATTTCTACACTTACCATAATCTAGGCACTCAGCACCCAATACCTAGGTTATTAATGCCTTCTGGCTGTACTGGTCACTTTCCTGTCAGCTCTGTCTGCCTTTGCTTCTTTGCAGTTTATTCAATGCACTGCTGATAGCTAGATTGATATGCTTTAACCCATGTTTTTACCATGACCTCTTCCTATTAAAGAACTTGAGTGGCTTCCTATTTTACATATGCTCTAAATTTCAAAGGTTCTTCTCAAGTGATTGTGGCTTACTTAGTTGATCATATGTCTAGCGGTCCTCTGCATCTGATCAGATGTTGTAAATTTATCTTCCAGGCTTATATACTCCTTGGCTGTTAGAACTTTTGGTTTTTTTGAGGTAGGGTCTTACTCCGTCACCTAAGCTGGAGTGCAGTCGCAATCTCGGCTCACTGCAGCCTCCTTCTCCTGGGTTCAAGTGATTCTCTTGCCTCAGCCTCCTGAGTAGCCGGAATTACAGGCGCCTGCCACCATGCCCAGCTAATTTTTATATTTTTAGTAGAGACAGGGTTTCACCATGTTGGCCAGGCTGGTCTCGAACTCCTGGCCTCAAGTGATTTGCCCACCTTGGCCTCCCAAAGTGCTGGGATTACAGGTGTGAGCCACCGCACCCATCCTGTTCCAACTTTTGAATTGGCTATGTTATTTATTTTAAACATTGAAAACTTCCAAGTGTCTTTTCTTTCTGTTGTCAGTGATGAATAATGTTTCCTCCAGATATGCATGTTTTAGTTTAGTGCTCATTTTTGCTGTAGCGAAGAGCAATGCTATTTATGTGAATGTACATGTGGATTTGAGAAATGTTAATTTTAAAATGAACAACAACAACAAAAAAATCAGAAGTTGCCAGACAGGAAGAAAATATAATGGACAGCCTCTTGGGTGCTGGATTTTGCTAGAGTATGTGCAATAAAATGAGATGATTTCTGGGATTAGGGAAGGACGTAAGAATTGTGTTACTAAAGCTTAGGTCATGGAAAGTAGCAGAAAAGATGAACAGTTTTTCCATTTTGTCTATATGAGGGCAGGATTTAGGTCCAATTTTGAAGTTGGACCTAGATTGGATAAAGGGAGCTAGGAGCAAAGTTGACTTCAGAGACTATAGGTATAGGTCCCAGGAAAGAGTTAATAGTAACCAGCGCATTGATTTTAGGAGATGCCTGGGTAGTCTAACCTGACTTGAATCCAAATAATAGAAGACAGTTTTCTAAGTAAATTAGGAACTTTAGAGTATACTTAAATGTTAGGAGCAAGTACCTGTATAGTTTGTACACAGACATGTGAAAGTAAAATGGTTAGGTATTTAAGCACCAGTAATGTAACAAGTCCTGTGCTAGACTATGTGTTTACAACGTGAAAAAAAAAAATAATTTGGGCCTTAGGGCAAAGGGAGAAAAATTTATGCTATAGGAAGATATGTACAAAGTGCAAGGTAGTTTAAATTAGGAATCAGTGGGCTGGACATGGTGGCTCACACCTGTAATCCCAGCACTTTGGGAAGCCAAGGCGGGCAGATCGCTTGAGGTCAGGAGTTTGAGACCAGCCTGGCCAATATGGTAAAACCCCGTCTTTACTAAAAATACAAAATTAGCTGGGCATGGTAGCACACGTCTGTAATCCCAGCAACTTGGGAGGCTGAGGCAGGAGAATTGGTTGAACCCGGGAGGTGGAGGTTGCAGTGAGCCGAGATCATGCCACTGCACTCCAACCTTGGTGACAGAGCAAGACTCTGTCTCAAAACACACACAAAAAAAGTTAGGAATTAGTGAACTGTGCTTTGAGAAAAATCAAAGGGGGCATGGATACTTTGTATAATTTGAATGAATTACCCCTACAAAAAAGTGGAACCATAAAGAAATGCCTCTTCCTCCATCAGCCCATCTGGTGTATTAAAACAGTGAGGTACTATATTGAGCCCTGAAGGTCGTAATCTAGAGGGAAAAATTTACATTAATTTACATTAATTCTCTGGATGGAGGTGCCTGAAATGATCCTGTGGTTTTGGGGGTGTCCCTTAACATTTCTCTGACTTAATCAAAATTTTACACCATTCTGAGGCTTAAGACTAAACAAAAGCTTTTGCTGACTAACCCAGTCTCAACTTAATCTTTTTTATTTGTAGTTTTCTGTCATATCTCTCATAATATTTTTATGCTTCAGGATATAATTTTAGGCTGGGTGTATTGGCTCACGCTTGTAATCTCAGCACTTTGGGAGACCAAGGCAGGTGGATCACCTGAGGTCAGGAGTCTGGGACCAGCCTGACCAACATGGTGAAACCCCATCTCTGTTAAAAATACAAAAATTAGCCAGGCATCATAGCGTGCGCCTGTAGTCCCAGCTACTCAAGAGGCTGAGACAGGAGAATTGCTTGAATCCAGGAGGCAGAGGTTGCAGTGAGCTGGGATCATGCCACCACACTCCAGCTTGGCAATAGAGCGAGACTCCATCTCAAAAAAAAAAATATATATGATTTTAGAAATGTATTGTTTCAAAAGTGTTTTATATTTATCTTGTTTAATTAGAATGTAGATAGTTTTTAGCTTTCTGGGTCTCACATAGGGCTATATATACAATAAGAATTTAATAAATTTTTATTGAATAAGAACTTCCTAGCCGGGTGCAGTGGCTCATGTCTGTAATCCCGGCACTTTGGGAGGCCAAGGCGGGTGGATCACATGAGGTCAAGAGTTCGAGACCAGCCTGGCCAACATGGTGAAACCCTGTCTCTACTAAAAAAACAAAAATTAGCCAGGTGTGGTGTCACGTGCCTGTAATCCCAGCTACCCGGGAGGCTGAGACAGGAGCATTGCTTGAACCCGGGAGGTGGAGGTTGCAGTAAGCTGAGATTGCACCACTGCACTCCAGCCTGGGTGATAGAGCAAGACTCAGTCTCAAAAAAAGAAAAAAGAATAAGAACTTCCCAGTAATTCTCTTGGATGCTGAATTAGTTGGCTTTTGATGGGGCAACAAATGGCATGCAAATCTTTGTAGCTTACAGTAACACACATTTATTTCTCACCAGCATTCTGCAGGTCAGCTGTGCTCAGCTGGCTCAGCTGGGCTTGCCAGTGGTTTATTCCAGGCTGAAGTTTGTTCATTATGGATGCCAGTTTGAAGGATCAGTGTCTCTTTGGGACATGGTCTTCTCTCGATGGAGTGCAGGAACACAAGAAGACTAACAGCAGCACCTCTTAAAAGCACTTCATGGAACTGGTCCACATTCCATTGGTTAGAGCAAGACATATGGCAAGACATACACCAAAAACTTAAAGAGTAGGAAATTTATGACCTGGCATTACTATGCAGAAGGAGAAGAAAAAAGTAGGAAAGTAATTTTGCCTAAGGGATGGGGGATGGGAGAGTATTTATTGAACAGTAATATGCACTAATACGGATGTTTCTGATTTAAAACAAAATATTAAAATTTTTTTTTAAGTGAAGTTTTAAGTATAGAGAATCTGGTAGAGAGGAGGGCCTCCAAGGACCTGGGCGTGAGAAAGATTTAATAAAAACTTCAAAGCAGTATCAGCATTATAAGGTAGGGGACAGCAAAGTCTTCCCTCCTAGGTTGAAGTCTCCCCACCTAACTCCTGGGCGACATTGAAGTATGGAGTTAGTCCTCCCTAGGTTCAAATTCTAGATCCATCACTTCCTACCTATGTACTCTTGAGCAAGTTATATTTTAGATCTGTAAAATGTGGGTACCAGTTATCTTTTTTCATTTCAGCTCTAAACGCATCTTTCATTGTCCTGTTTGTGATACTGGAAGTTTTTCCTTTGCCAGTTACTGTTAAACTTTGTCAGTAGAGAGACTAGAAGGACCCTGGAGGAAGGGTGTTTCTTGCTGATTCTAGTGTGCCCTTTGTGGCTTGCTTCTATAGCATGCTGGAACTAGTGGGACATTCAATGGCACCCAACTCTTAAGGAGTTTTAGCAGCAACTCTCATATGCAATTTCCTAGTGAAACTGCCTCTCCATGGGTGACTTCCCCTGCCATTGCAAAGTTCAGCTTCCCAACAAATTCCACTGGCATGAGTTGTCCAGTGGATGACTTGTTCTGGCATCACAGAGAGTGATTTTCTAGTGCATTTTGCTGGCGTGGCACCTTAGTACGTTTCTCTGACGTACATAGCTGTGCCCTCTCCACACAGTCTGATCTCTGCCCTGTCAGTGAGAGTAGACCTTTTATAGACTGGTCATTTCTTGGTGCTCTGTGTCAGATCTCGAATAGTAACTGCTCCCTATATCTGCTATTTCTTTAACTTCTGAGTAGTAAATTTCCTGTTGTAACTAATAATTTTTTATTTTTTTGTTTATTTTATTTAATTATTTTTTGAGACAGCATCTTGCTCTGTTGATCATAGCTCACTGTCGCCTCAACATCCTGGGCTTAAGTAGTCCTCTCACCTCAGCCCCCTGAATAGCTGGGACTACAGGTGCATGTCACCATGCTTGGCTGATTTTTTTTGGTAGAGATGGGGTCCTACTATGTTGTCTAGGCCGTTCTTCAACTTCTGGGCTCAAACAATCCTCTCTCCTTGGCCTCCCAGAGTGCTAAGATTACAGGCATGAGCCACATACCTGACCTTAATAATGTTTTATATTAAAAGTTTCTTATTCAATTTATCATGTGGTTTCTGTCTTCTAATTGTACTTTGACTAATATATCAGGTTTATAAGTAGTACTTTCTCATAAGATTATTCTGAGGATTGAATGGGATAATATAAGCAATTTATTTAGAATAGTGCCTGTCATAGAGCAATTACTTTAGTGTTTATTAGAAATATTGGTAGGATCATCATCATCATAACTACCACTAGCTAAGAGTGACATTTCTACTTATTGTCCATAGGATGTTTCGTCTGAACTCACTTTCTGCTTTGGCAGAACTGGCTGTGGGTTCTCGATGGTACCATGGAGGATCACAGCCCATCCAGATCCGGCGAAGACTAATGATGGTGGCTTTCCTGGGAGCATCTGCAGTAACTGCAAGTACTGGTCTTTTGTGGAAGAGGTGAGTGTTATCCAACCATCTTGTTCTTGCATATACTTTTATTCTTCCAGTCATCTCTCTTGTCAGAAAGGAGTTGATTTCTGGCTTAACTCTGTATCAAAATTTCTTGCCCAGATCATTTGGTATTATGAATATTCATCTATGAAATAAGATGTTTCAAAGAATTCAACATGCCAAGGCAATACATAGGAAACACTGTGCTTCAAGGTCTGCCTGTCTCCTCTGCTAAACATTTTAAATAACGTGGTAGGGATAGCAATAGCAGCTTTAGAAAATGAATGGTTTCCGGCCAGGCGCAGTGACTCACGCCTGTAATCCTAGCACTTTGGGAGCCCAAGGTGGTCAGATCACTTGAGGTCAGGAGTTTGAGACCAGCTTGGCCAACATGGCAAAAACCCATCTCTACAAAAATACAAAAAATAGCCAGACACAGTGACGTGAGCCTATAGTCCCAGCAACTTGGGAGGCTGAGGCAGGAGAATTGTTTGAACCTGGGAGTCAGGTGGAGGTTGCAGTAAGCCAAGATTGTGCCACTGCATTCCAACCTGGGTGACAGAGCAAAACTGTCTCAGAAAAAAAGAAAAAAAAAAAAAGAAAATGAATGCTTTCTGAGACTTCACAACTTGGCGACCCTGTGAAATTAACTAAGGAACCTTGGTACTTTAGTGTCCCTGATAGTTTTTTTCACTAGTTATGGAAACTTCCTTGGAGAGAAGAGAAAATGTAGCAAGCCACGGTCTTCTCTTTCTTAAAATACATAGGTACTGTTTTTCTGATTCTGTCACTCTGTTTTTTATTTTTGTTTGTTTGTTTTTTGAGATGGAGTCTTGCTCTGTCGCCCAGGCTGGAGTGTAGTGGCACAATCTCAGCTTATTGCAACCTCTGCCTCTGGGTTCAAGCAATTCTCAGCCTCCCATGTAGCTGGGATTACAGGTGTGTACCACCATGCCTGGCTAAGTTTTTTTTTTTTTTTTTTTTTGGTATTTTTAGTAGAGATGGGGTTTCACCATGTTGGTTAGGCTGATCTCGAACTCCTGGGGTCAAGTGACATGACCACCTCAGCTTCCTAAAGTGTTGGGATTACAGGCATGAGCCACCATGCCCAGCCTCTAGGGCTAATTTAGCCCTATTAATATAGGATGATCTTTCTGGGATGTTATTAAATGCCTTAGGTGTTCCGTGAGGTTCCTCTAGTCTGACTTGGTAGAGCTTGATTGTTTTCTCTTGTGAACTCTGGAAATTGACTGGCCTGTGGCTCCTTGGCAATTATTTTGTGTAGTTTCATCCTAAAGAATGCACTGCTTAGTGTTGACTCAATACTCAAGAGTGTTCCATATACATTTTTAGAGCTCTTTCTCTGTGTGACTTTTTCCTCTTGAGTCCTCTGCCTCACCAATTCCAGGCACCTCAGGTTTTCTAAACTTTGATCTCTGTCACCTTAATTTAGCAAGATCACTATATTTGGCTTGGGATCCTCTTTGTGGTCTAGAAAATGTTTCCAGACAGAAATTCTGGGCAATTATAGGCCTCCATTTTTCTTTTTCTTTTTCTTTCCCTTTTTTTTTTTTTTTTTTTGTGAGATGGAGTTTCACTCTGTCACCTAGGTTGGAGCGCATTGGTGCAATCTTGGCTCACTACAACCTCTGCCCCCCAGGTTCAAGAGATTCTCTTGCCCCAGCTTCTCGACCAGCTGGGACCAGGCAAGCACCACCAAACCCGGTTAACTTTTGTATTTTTAGTAGAGATGCGGTTTTACCATGTTGGCCAGGCAGGTCTCGAACTCCTGACCTCAAGTGATCCACGCACCTCGGCCTCCCAAAGTGCTGGGATTACAGGTGTGAGCCACTGCTCCTGGCCAGGCCTCCATTTTCTTAGAGAATTGCATACTGTGCAGTGTCTGAAAGCAATCATTTGATATATTTTGTTCAATTTTCTGTATTTTTGCCCTGGTGGAAAGTCAAATCTATTACAGTTTGCTCCATTATGGCTGTAAGCAAAGTCTTCTTTTTGTACATCATTGTATTTCATCAATTCTGTAATATTTAATTAATTTTAGTATTATATCATTACAGCAGTGGCTTCAACTACCAGAAATACTTGTATTATTTTTTAAAAAAGAAATACTTGTATTATTTTGAGCCCCTATTTCTTCTTTATTTTTTATTTATTTATTTTTTTTGAGACGGAGTCTCGCCCTGTCGCCCAGGCTGGAGTGCAGTGGCCGGATCTCAGCTCACTGCAAGCTCCGCCTCCCAGGTTTACGCCATTCTCCTGCCTCAGCCTCCCGAGTAGCTGGGACTACAGGCGCCCGCCACCTCGCCCGGCTAGTGTTTTGTATTTTTTTTTAGTAGAGGCGGGGTTTCACCGGGTTAGCCAGGATGGTCTCGATCTCCTGACCTCGTGATCTGCCCATCTCGGCCTCCCAAAGTGCTGGGATTACAGGCTTGAGCCACCGCGCCTGGCCTCTTCTTTATTTATGTTCCTTTTTATTGTAGTGAAAGAAGCATTTTTTTTAACCATTTTTTTTCTAAAGACCTTGATATTCCACCCTTTCAGTTACAGTTGGGACAAGGGGAGGATGAGAATGGGAAGAGTTGGAGTGAGATGAAGAACGAGGAGGGGCTCTATGGCTGAAAGTCTAGTCCATTTAGTTGTTGTGCTGGAAGGGCTCATTGTCTCTGGTTTCAGTGAGAAGATGTGTGGATGAGGGCTTCTGTCACATGTCTTCACCGTTTTAAAATATGCAATTCAGTAGTTTAAAGTGTATTCACATCATTGTGAAACAGATCTCCAGAATGTTTTCATCTTGCAAAACTGAAACTCTACTCTTTCAAGAGCAACTTCCTTGCTTCCCCTTCCCTCAGCCCATGGTAACCCCCATTCTACTTTCTGTTGCTGTAAATTTAAATATTCCAGGTAACTCATGTAAGTGAAGTCATACAATATTTGTGGTTTTGTGACTGGTTTATTTCACTTAGCATAATGCCCTCAAGATTCATCCATGTTGTAGCTTGTGAGAGGATTTCTTTCCCTTTTAAGGCTGAAAAATATTCCATTATATGTATATACCACATTTCGTTTATTCATCTGCCAATGGACTTACGAGTTGTTTCCACCTTTCAACTATTGTGCATAGTGCTGCTGTGAACATGGATGTGCAGATATTTCTTTGAGACCCTTTCATTTCTTTGGGATATATACCCAGAGATCATGTGGAAGTTCTATTTAATATTTTTTGAGGAACTTCTTCATGTAGAATATTTGACAAGTTTCGTTGCTGTTGCTCTGCTAAGCTGTATCTGTTTGCTTATTTGGCTAATATGATGGACATTCAGTATTAATCCAGATTTCTTTTTTGCATATCCAGGGCCCATGCAGAATCTCCACCATGTGTAGACAACCTAAAAAGTGACATTGGTGATAAAGGGAAGAATAAAGATGAAGGGGATGTTTGTAACCATGAAAAAAAGACTGCAGATCTTGCGCCTCATCCAGAAGAGAAAAAGAAGAAACGTTCTGGATTCAGAGACAGAAAAGTATGAAGCATAGTCTTACAAGTTGATCAGAAGTATATCCTAAAGTAGAATAACGCAGTTCAATCTTTTTAATCATATGTTTCAGATGGTTAATGTTCACTTTCAAGTTAACACTTCTTTGCTATTTTCCATCATGTTCTAAGCCAAAAGTACTCTTGGAATGTGAAGTTAAAGGAGGTAGTTAAAAGGGTCTAGGACCAATAACCGCAATTAGCATATTTTTTCTTAGTTCTTTCAGTTCAGCAGCCTAAGGTGATTCTTTGTTTCTGGATCTTCCTGATGCTAAGTGTTATATACGTTAAGTTGAGTCTTTGTGGTATTTCTGATACCAAGTTGTAGAGAGAGAATAAAATCTCTTTGGAAATATAACTTCTAGAAGACCAAGTAACTTTGAGGACAGCACAAACTTCAAATGACTATCAAGATTTTATGTAATTAGACCCTGCGCGGTGGCTCATACCTATAATCCCAGCACTCTGGGAGGGAGAGGCGGGCAGATCACCTGAGGTCAGAAGTTCAAGACCAACCTGGCCAATGTAATGAAACCCTGTCTCTACTGAAAATACAAAAAGTAGCCTGGCATGGTGGCATGCACCTGTAGTCCTAGCTACTCAGGAGGCTGAGGCAGGAGAATTGCTTGAACCTGGGAGGTGGAGGTTGCAGTGAGCTGAGATTGTGCCACTGCACTTCAGCCTGGGTGGCAAAGCAAGACTCAGTCGCAAAAAAAAAAAAAAAAAAAAAATTTATGTAATGAACACAACCTGCTGTTATATATATATAGCTTTGCCTCAGTGAAGTTTCAGTTCCACTACAGCAGTTCCTATGATATCAGGTATTTGATTTCCTCTAACATGAGTGATGAACAATGAAAAGGATAGATTTCTTAGACATTTTGTATGTCAAGGTTAAAATTCAGGGAATTGCCTTCCATTGCTAAACTATAGCTAATAATGCAACAAGATAATTTGAGTTATTTCTGTATTTTGTGTGTGTGTGGTTTGTGTATTTGCAAGAAGAGTTCTTCTTTGTAAAATCTGGATCTTCTGTCTGGTTTCATCTGTTAGAGGAAGTTATTTTTTTATTTTTGGAGACAGAGTCTCCCTCTGTTGCCCAGACTAGAGTGCAGTGGCACAATCTTGGCTCACTGTAACCTCTGCCTCCTGGGTTCAAGCAATTCTCCTGCCTCAGCCTCCCAATAGCTGGGATTACAGGCGTGTACCACCATGCCCAGCTAATTTTTGTGTTTTTAGTAGAGATGGAGTTTCACCATGTTGGCTAGGCTGGCCTTGAACTCCTGACTTCAGGTGATCCACCTGCCTCGGCCTCCCACAGTGCTGGGTTTATAGGCATGAGCCACCGTGCCCAGCCTAGATGAAAGTATTAAATGTGTTTTCTCTGTACCCAAATTCATGTCTGATTGAGGTGAATTTGAACAAGAGTTATGCATCACAAGTCAATTATCAAGTTTTATCAATGATCCTTGTTTTTCTGGCAGGATACATTTATTTACTCTTTTGCCCTGAGTGAATTCAAAGAAAGCACAACTTGACTCTGTGCCAGTAGTTTCATCTACAGGCCAGTCACACTTTCCATTTTGCAAAATACAGCTAAAATGTCCCAAATAAACATTTATTTTGAACCTACTTCCATTTTCTACTCCTACTGTCCACTCAGCAGATGAGCATGTCTCATACTTCATAGAAAAAATGAAAAACTATCAGTGTGATTTACTCAAATTCCAACCCTTATAGTTACAAAACCTATCTAATCTGTATTTGAAGTAATTCTTATTTCTTTCACTAACGTTTCAGAGGAAGAGCTGTCTTTTCCCTGTTCAAGGATAATTGTTTTAATGTCTTTCTGTATCTCTAATAATCTATTTCATCACTTATTCTGTCTTCATTCTGTTTTTTTCAGTCATTCTTTGAATATTCATTCCTTTACATGATCTATATAGATATGTTAAGAGTTTCTCTATTTATAATTTAAGAAATAATAAACCACATTTTTATGCCATAAGTTTTGTTTTTTGTTTGTTTGTTTGTTTTGAGATGGAGTCTTGGTCTGTTGCCCAGGCTGGAGTGTAGTGGTGTGATCTAGGCTCACTGCAACCTCTGCCTCCCGGATTCAAATGATTCTGATGCCTCAGCCTCCTGAGTAGCTGGGATTACAGATGCCCACCACCATGTCTGGCTAACTTTTGCATTTTCAATAGAAATGGGGTTTCACCACGTTAGCCAGGCTGATCTCAAACTCCTGAGCTCAGGTGATCTGCCCACCTTGGCCTCCCAAAGTGCTGGGATTATAGGCATGAGCCACTGTGCCTGGCTTATGTCATAAGTTTATTAAAAACTTATCTATTATCCTATGTAAATTCAAGGGTTTGTTTTATTTTTCAGAGATTGCACCTCTTAAAATGCTCTTCATATCTGTTTCATGGATGAATTAAAACATCCTTGTTTCTTAAACAGTTGGTGTCTTGCTATAAATAAATGTGCATAAAATCCAGATCCAGAGTACAAAGTCATTATAATTAGTAACCACCACTTATTTTCTACTGAAAATAGCATGTTCTTCCCTGAGCCCTCTTTATAGTGCCTGGTGCCTCCTGTGGACCACAGAGGTTGTGAACCTCTGGATGCCCTGTTCCAGCGTGGTGCTATTGGAAGTTCAGTGAGAGGTGCATAGACCGAAGGCAAGAGAGATGGCAGCACCACACCAAGTCCTCCTTAAACTGCGTTTTTTAATCCCTTTTTTCTTCTCCATTTTGATCATGTATTTTTCTCTTGCTACTTTCCCATTCATTTTTTTCCCTCTGGTCTGGTCCTGTGATGTCTACATCAGTGGTCCCCAATGTTTTTGGCACCAGGGACTGGTTTTGTGGAAGATAATTTTCCTGCAGACCAGAGTGGGAGGGGATGGTTTGAGGAGAAACTGTTCCACTGCAGATCATCAGGCATTAGATTCTCATAACGCACACAACCTAGATCTCTTGCATGTGCAGTTCACAGTCAGGTTCGTGCTCCTATGAGAATCTAATGTTGCCGCTGATCTGACAGGAGGCAGAGCTTAGTCAGTCATGTTCCACTGCTGCTCACCTCCTGCTATGCAGCCTGGTTCCTAATAAGCCCCGGACCAGTACCAGTCCTCGGCCCGGGGCTGGGAACCCCTGCTCTATATGTTGTCCTTCACATTCTCACTTTTCTTTTTCTTTTAACTTTTTTCTTTTTAAAACGTTTATTTTAAAAAAAATTTATTCATTGTGAAGACGAGGTCTCACTATGTTGCCCTTGCTGGTTTCAAACTTCTGAGCTCAAGTGATCCTCCCACCTTGGCCTCCCAAAGTGCTAGGACTACAGGCATGAGCCACTGTGCCCAGCCCTCTCATTTTTCATTTATACTTTTGTTCTTTTATGTTCTCTTAATTTTTATGTAATATTTCAAATATTCAGAGAAAAAAGAGAATAATGTTTTTTATATTTATAAAATTATAGTCTATAGTTTATAAAATTACATAAGTTTTATAATTTTATAAACAACCAACACTCACTTTTGTCAAGTTTTAATATTGTATTTCTTCAGATTGTTTTTTAAAAAATAAATGAGTATTTAAAAATACATTGCTTTTATACTCCCCTTCAGTCCCTTTCCTCCCCCATCATCTTCCATCTTCTTCAGAGGTAAACTGGTATCCTAAATTTGCTTTTTTGTTTTTTGTGGGTTTTTTATTTTATTTTTTGGAGAGAGGGTCTTGGTCTCTCACATAGGCTGGAGTGCAGTGGTGCAATCATAGCTCACTGCAGCCTCGCACTCATGGGTTTAAGTAATATTGCTGCCTCGGCCTCTGCAATAGAGAGGACTAGAGGTGTGTGCCACCATGCCCAGCTCATTTGAAAAAATAAAATTTGTAGAGTCAGAGTCTTGCTCTGTCACCCAGGCTGGAATGCAATGGCACGATGAAAGCTCACTGCAGCCTCGAACTTCTGGGCTCAGGTAATTATCCTGCCTCAGCCCTATTAGCCAGAACTACAGGCATGCATCTCCATAAGCAGCTAATTTTTTTAAATTTTTTTTATAGAATGGGGACTTGCCCAGGCTAGTCTCAAACTCCTGGCTTTAAGAGATCATCCCGCTGCTGCCCCTTTTTGTTTTCATTTGTTTGTTTTGCTTAATTTTTCCTATTTAGTGTTTCAGTGGCTGCTTTCTCTCACCTGCTAGGTTTTTTTGTTCAGAAGTAGACCTTATATTTATAGCCTGTGCTTCATTGTATTGAAGATCCAGACACTGAGCCCAACAACCGTTTGGCAAAGGTTCTGGGGCAAAGCTGTGGAAAATGCTCTAAATGAGCATTTTCTCTAGGTAGCAGCTTACTAAAACTTCACCCTCCTTTCGTGGTCAAGAGAAGCCCTGCGATAGCTTCTTCTGGTTTTATTCAATGAATTTAGCTCTGGGTTCATGCCTCCTTTTCTGCACACTTACTGCCCTTAATTGCTTTGCCTGTTTTCAGCCTGAAGTCCAGAAGCCTACAACTTCATTTCTTCCTACCATAGTATGTTTCTATGTAGTCTCTGATCCACAGAGATGGTGTCTTGTTTTGAATTGGTTATACCTTTGAAATTTTTCTCATCTTTAAGTTTACCAATGATTTTTATATTTTTAGAGCACAGGCTCAAAAACCAGAATTTTTTTTTTTTTTTTTTTTTTTTTGAGACGGAGTCTTGCTCTGTTGCCCAGGCTGGAGTGCAGTGGCCGGATCTCTGCAAGCTCCGCCTCCCGGGTTCACGCCATTCTCCTGCCTCAGCCTCCAGAGTAGCTGGGACTACAGGCGCCCGCCACCACGCTCGGCTAGTTTTTTGTATCTTTTAGTAGAGACGGGGTTTCATCGTGTTAGCCAGGATGGTCTCGATCTCCTGACCTCGTGATCCGCCCGTCTCGGCCTCCCAAAGTGCTAAGATTACAGGCTTGAGCCACCGCGCCCGGCCAAAAACCAGAAAATTCTA